TCATTTTAGTGAGGAAGACGATGAGAAAAAGCGATACGGCTAATAGTGCATAATATTGTGTAGTTGTGTAAATAAACGTGTGAATAGATAAAAAAAAAAAAAAAACAAAAAAAATGATACGCAAGTAAGTATGCAACTGGCGTGCGGGTCTCACCTATTCATTTATCGACCAATAGTGGAGACAATGACCGTTATGACGACGTAACGGCCGACGACCGTCGTTCCGTTTGATTTTGAATGGCCAACTGCTGAACGCTTCCGGCCGTCCTCCCGATGTCTAGGCAAACGGACATAGCATAGTATCCTAACGGACGTTTCGTACTTTTGTAGCGATGGTCACCGCCACCGTCGTCTGATTGCGTCGCGGACTGCGGGCCGAATTATTGTGAATCGTCGCCGTTGTCGTCGTCGTATGACTATTGACTACGTGACTGGGACGCGGCCGGACGAACGGCGCATTCAAAAATATGCAAAGAAACGTACGGAGTAACGAAATTAATAATTATTGTGATTTTGTTATTATTTTTCCTTGTTTTCGTTATTCTGTTTTTGTCCTACTGTTGTCTGTACGTACTGCCGTTCGTATTCGCTAGATGCTGCTAGCTGCTGCCTGCTGCTGTCCGACGACGGTTGGTATCGGTCGGTACGAGCACCAACGCTCGTCGATTGGTCGGCGTCGGCGGCCGTCGCTGGAGATTGTGTTCAAGTCGTTTTCGTATTTTCGTAACCACGATGTTCTGGTTCCGGTTGCGCAGTGTAGCCACACGTCGGCCACGCCAAATTCCCCGGATGGATGAACTCCGTAGGGTCACCACATACTATATAGTGGTTGTTGTTGTTGTTGTTGTTGTGGTTGTTGTTGTTGATGTTGTTGTTATGCTTATGTTGTCAGTTTGTCACTAATATTGTCGACTTGTCGACTGTCGTTCGAATCATCCGATTGGCTATAATTGGCGTTGACCGATGTGGCGACTGGTGGGGTCCGATTGTCCGGAACTGGCGAAACTCCGAAATCGTGACTTACTACTTAGAGTTTTAGTAGTTTCTACTGTTTCTAGTTTGTAGATCGTTGTTGCCCGGGGCTGATCTGATGATTTGGGTGCACAAATTGTAAAGAATTCCCAGAATATTGAATAATGCTGTAAAATAATTTAAAATGTGGCCACTTACTGACTTACCTCTACGATATGTCGGTATACCTTTTTATATTGTGTTACGATGTGAACTATAAAAAAAATAGAAAAATAGAATCGATTAGGTAGGTACAATATAACGAATCTAGGAAAAAAAAGCCCCGGAAAAAAAAGCCATATATTAACATGGGCGCGGGGGGCTCTGATGAGTCTGATCTGATCCCATAATACCCACTGCATATTTTCATATTACCACTATTTAGTATTTAGATTACCTATAATATTATTCACATATAGACATATTATAATATTATATGTCTATGATTATTCACAATACAATTTTAGAATAAAAAATTGAACACAATTTTTTTATCTTGGTATTTTGTTATAACTTATATTAAAATTTTATGTGTATGTGTTAAATATAATTTCCTGCTATCTATAGTTGCAAATGTGTTCAATATTTCGTCTGGAACAATGACACATTGTCATTATAGGTTTGCCGTTTGGTACCTACTAATTGGTAGTGGTCTCCATTCTCCAAATAGAAAATGTAATGAATTATTTGGTTGAGTTCTTTTTTTGTTCTCTTTAAAAATTTGTATTTTTAAATACCTAGTTTGATTTAAATATCATAGTCGTAGTACGAACAAAGAAGCTTAATAACCTGGAGGAGGAAACGTGAACGTACAATATTATATAATTATTAATTTTTCACAAAATTATACGATTTTTAACCATAACATTTTGAAAATGCATTTTCATTCTCATATTTCGAATGGACTCATTTAACTCAATGACATCACTAATAATAATTTTGGCCTTCTCTTATGTAGCCGTTTTGGATTGTAGTACCTATTGTGTACTGACTAGGTACCTACTGAGCATGTCTATAACGCTCCTAACAAATGTTTTTAAACAAATACCTATTGATACCTACTATTATAAATTTAAATTTTGTAATTTCAGATTAAAATACAAATTACAAATATAATATAATATAATCAAAATTCAGAATGCTAGAACGCAAGATAAAAAAATTATAATAATAATGAATTTTTAAAAATAAAATAAAATAATTAAAACTATGAGTATTATTTTGAAATTACAATGATATGTAACAGAATGGGTGTGTTGAATTCGAACTCAATGATAAAAATGAATAGAGGACATTTCCCCCCCCCGTTTTTTTTGTTTTTTTATTTTTAATTATACCTATACCATCGAGTATAAAATTATTATTTTTAACACGTATTTTTTAGCTTTTGTTCATATTTTTTTTTTTTTTTTTATTTTTGTAAAAACTGTACGTTAATTAAAATAACTTTAATCTTGATTTCAATAAACAAAAAAAAAAAATAATATTTAAAACAAGTTAAGTAAAAATATAGTTTTAAATAAAATAGTATAGTAATATAGTATACTAACTATACTGTTGGTCACTAAATAGGAAGTACCTATATTTTTTGATATATTTTTTGTCTTTATTATGTTAGTTTAGGTATATCTTGTTAAAAAAATATCGTATATTTGTATTTTTTTAATTATTAACATAATATTTTATATTATACACCTATAAACCTATTATTGCTACTATTTACTAATTTTGAATCAATAGGTACCACCTTACCGTAGACAGAACATTGTAAATAGGCTCATGATGTAAATAGTTAATAGTTTAAAAGTTAAAAATATCTTAACAATAATTTTGAAAATTTCACTGCTTATAGTAGTATACCTTTTTTTTTCATTTTTAGATAAGTACCTATATATGTGCGATAAGGGAAACAAACAATAAGGTGATATATAAATATAGTATACCTACGTACCAGTTTTTAGTCGCTAAAATTAATATAAAATTCTAATTTTAAACGCTCACAAAAAATCGTCAGTATTTTTGATTTTTTTTTTTAATTGGTATACCTACCTATGAACCTGTTTTAAATGTTCAAGTTTTTTGACTGAACGTGAATCTTTTTACTGTCAATACCTAATTGCAAACGGTTTATGCCAATTAAAATAAAGTAGTGTCGGAATATTTTGAAAATTATATCCTTATAGATATATGTATATATAACTAAAATTATTGATTTTCATAGAAATAACGACATCATTTTAACATAATATATAATAATTTTATATTTAATTTATGTTTTTACAATTTTAGGCATAAGTACGTATTTTTTTTTTATACTTTATATTTACATACTATGATATAAAGTACTTATAGCAACTATAAATAATATAATTATTATTAGGGCTCGGATTTATATGTAAATACATATTATTTAATATTTTTACTGTGACTTTATTAATTAATTTAAATGAGTGATAAATTCGTTTCAAGGGTTTTCCAATGAAATTAACTATATTTTGTTTTATATATTTCTCAATAATTCCATATTTTCCTACATATTTCGACAATTCGTTCATTTATGATTTTTTAATAATTATTAATTATTTAGGATTGTACTTTTCAATACAGACAATTTCCTCCGATGTTTTTAAAAGTACAAAATAGTAACAAAACAATACCAATTATTGAACTTAATCAACGGTAGATATAACTTACTCCTTCAGACATAGTCAAAATGCAATACTGTAAAATAACATCAGTGGAAGTCAAAAATCATTTAGTCGGTATAAGGCAATTTTAAGACCAAATCGAAGATCTTTTGAATTTGAAAATTTAAAAATAGCTGTTATCATAAATTGTAATCAACATAATAAAAAATTTTATTTTTTTTTTAGCTTTTTTTATTTATATTTTATAATTTTTAATACCTTTTTTTTTTAATAATTTTGCTATTTAAAATATAATTTGTTTCATTATAAACTCATATGGATATTTTATATTATTAAAATACATTTTTTGATTTTTTTTTTAGCACATATTTTGGTTTCATAAATACATACATATAAATCCGAGCCCTAATTATTATTATTATGGTCTTAATTAACATTAAGCAGAGGTAATCAAATATGTCTGTAATTAGTTTTACAGTTATGTAATGTTGTAATGAAGTATAATATAGTAAACAAATTATGGAAATAAATGAAAGGCAAAAAATATCATGACTAACATATAAATAAATATCTCTATCAAAAAAAAATATAGCTTAAAATATTAAAATATAAATCACATGTTAATAATGAATAAAACATTTCTTTTAAATAATTGTTAATATAACATATTAACATTTAATGTAATTATTATGTTTATCATATTTCACAAATTCAAGGCTGTACCATTGTTATTTCTAGTATTGGTGACCAATAATTTGTTTTTTACTAAATATAATTATAATTTATCAAATAATAATATTTCTTGAATAGCGGACAGATAACACTTCAAAAAGTTACAGCCTTGTTTGTAATAATTTATAAATTCCACAAAAAATATATTCTTATGATTTATAGTTTTATATTTATTCATAGACTTATCTTGAATAACAAATATTATCATCCTTCAACAAAAAATATTTAAATGTTTAAACAGTGAAATACCTATTATTGAATAAAAATTAAAATACATATATTTCTAACTAACTTTCTATTAAAAATATAATAATTTAAAATTTTTGATTTATTTCTATATTATGTTTTTCCATAAGGAGGTATTTATTATTTTTAAAATCTGGGTCCACAGTTTTTTGTTTTTTAACTTGTAATAAATAAGCTGCAATCTTGTATTAAAAATTTGTTGAAATTATTAAACTAAACTTAGGTATATTAATATTTTTCAACAAAATTGAAATGTTGATTAGGTATACATAAAGAAAGTTTTTTTATTATAAATTTAAAAATAGGAATATAATAATAATCACAGTAACAGAACATAAAAATTATTTAAAAACATGAATTTTTTTACATAGCATCAAAATGAAATTTATGTGCTTCCTGGCGTTTTTCAATACGATCTTCTTGTCGTTCTTTAAAGTACAGCACTCCAATTATAACTAAAATAAGTAGGCATGTACCTGCAAGTGCAGCTGCACTTTGAAATATTAAACGACTTGGTGTCACAAATAGTTTAGCATTCCATCTACTTGGATCATTTATTGGATTTGGAATTACAACCATTTGAGAATTTGGGATAATTTGTGTCCAAGAACGGGTTTCATTTAAAACCGAAACAGTAAGTTCATCTACAAAGTTAGGAGTACGTCCAAGTCCAAATATTGTGTAAGGCAAATAAAGAGAATAATACGCAGACTGGGGTAACTGTGTAGCTATGCCTTGACGTGGATACCCATCCTGTGTGGTAGTCACGTAGCTAACTTTTGGTCCAGGTAAGTTAGTACCAAATGTCCGAGATTTTTTTCCCAATCGACTTGGTAACATTTCATATTTACTATTTGTCAAACCAGTAACAACCATTACCTATAAATAACAAAATATGATAAATAAACTATAAAAATATTTTTTAAACATGTACTTACTTTCAAAAAATTTGCATCATAGTCCAAACTGTTCTTAAAAGCTGACATATTGTACTCTCCATTACCTCCACTAACTAACAACACATCTAATATACCATTTTGAAAAAAATCATAAAATGCTCCCATAATGTTGTTTTTGTCACCATTCATTGCCTGAAGTAAGTCCCATCGAACAACAAATGTTCTGTCAAACCCATCACAGCCTGTCGTACATGCAACATTTTCCATTAAAATTACTTTTGTTTTTTTTGTACTGCCTCCAAGACACAATGTGCCTAATAAATCAGGGTAGCCATCCATATTGAAATCACCAGGGCGTACCGTGATTGTTTCTAGATATGGTACATTAGGCATTGGTGGTACAAATCCCCAAACACTGTTACCATTATGGAAATTTATTCCCAAATTATACCAACGAGTTGAATCATAAAAATAAATAGTACTGTTGGTACATTGTGTATCAAAACAAACAGGGACAATATGATCCATGCGCCCTTTAAGTTGTAAGTCCATGAAAGCAGTTTGACCAACATTTGACACCTTTAAATTGTCAGGAAATGAGATAGTTTGGTTAAAAATAAATGCATCAACTTCAGAATCCGAAAGCCACACTTCATATCCCTTTGTAGTTGTTAAATATAAATCAGGTGCAACATCTGAAAATAAATATATGAATTAGGAAACAATGTTCAAGTTAAGCAAGTATATCAGGGGCGTAGCGTGCATGTAAGCAGTAAGCACTGCTTACACTTTAAATGAAAGAAAAAATAAATTTGATCAATCACGACTAATAGGTACATAATAAATGATTTTTAAAATTTTAATTTTATTTATAAAATATTTAAGTTATAGCTGGTAGTGGTTTTTGTTATTGTTTATTTGTGTCGTACGCTGTCTAGGTACTGATTACCAACTATTTTAAGAAAATCATCGATTGTAGATCTATCTTTAATCCATTTGTATTATGTTAACTGCATAATCATAATTCATAATACGATATACAGTGTAACACATTCTGAAATTGCTTACGCGCAACTGTTGTTTTCGAATAGTCTATAATGCCATAGTGGGGGTCACGTATTTAACTAGCGTTTGTAAGCACATTTGATTTTGCTTACGCGAGAAACAAGGAGCGACCTGTACGCGTTGTAGACTGTAGTCGTTTTTACGTACACTGTCACTGCCATTCGCCTAATAGACATTTGAAGTATTTATACTTCAATTTCTTTATTTTCTCGAATTTGATTTGTACAACTAGTATATTTTTAAAATTATTAAACATTTTAAAAGGATAACATTTTTTATATACGGGGTGTCCCACCGAGATCTGACAAATGACATAACTTTTGCTATATACAAAATTTAAATATTTTTTTTTACTTATATAATTTATAGCCACTCGCGCTACACGTATAATATACAAAAAATTATTTTTATTTTTTAATACTGAAAATAAAAAATTTATAATTTGATTTAAAATTTTTTATATTAATTTAAAATAGCCAATTTGTGAACCTGATTATAAGAACAATTTTGATGGTAAAAACATTTTTATAAGTCAAGTAGTTTATTTTTTAGAATTTTTTTAAATATCTATAATTTTTTTATTAAATTATTTAGGAATGTAATAACTTTTTTAAAAATATTATTTTTAGAAATTTGCTGACATGAGTATATTTTTTAAATTATTTGGTAATCACATAGTACTAACAATTTTTGTCATACGTTTAAGTAGCAGTTTTATTTTTTTTTTCTTGTCAGATCTCGGTGATAATTTATAATTAGGTATAGTACCTATATTCTAATCACTTTTGAAAAAAAATTTCACTGCTTACATCTTTTTAATACCCACGCCACGCCACTGAAGTATATAACTACATAAGATAATAAATCTTCCATCAAAATATTTTTAGTACATCTTAGCGGCTTTTATTTATATTAAAAAAAAAGAATATTACTATTCAAAACATCATAATATTATTTGTGTTACATTAATTTTGTTATGCTTCAACTGTATGGGTGATTAATATTTTATTCTATATTTAACAAAAAAAAGATGATAAAATTTATTATTCTGGTTATAAAATATCAATATTTTAGGTAAAGTTGGAAAATAAGAATAAAACTTTATAAGTATTTTGAACGTATGGAAGTTTGAGAATTTAATTGCTTGTATACTAGTTTGTATACTAATTTGATAACTAAAAAGTCACTAAAAGTGAAAAATAATAAAGGATAAAATTGAATAAAATCAGTAATATACGAATACAAATATAATGGTAGATAGTTGTTTAAGACATTTATCTCAAGGAAATATAAGACAAAATATGGAACAGAAATATCACATACTATTGTGTTAGACGTTTTTTTTAAAAATGTATTAATGTAATGCTTTAAATTTTAAATCTACAACCAAAATTATTACAAACATTGTAATTCAAATTTAAAAAGATGATAAAAAGTAAAAACCCAATTTAAATTCAATTGATTGACATTATTTATAGTCCAATAACAGACGGATAAAAATAAAAGTTTTATAATCGTTCTAATCTAATTGTTTTTCTTGGTTATTATTTGAAACATAAAATAATGTAATTACAACCATTCAAAACAACACATAACCACGACAATCTTACACATTATGTAGTTTTATAAGTAAAAATATAATTATATTCAAAACTAACCTCCGCCTAAGTCTACAAATCCGTGTGATTGAGGAATTCTTATCTCTTCAGATTTATAGTTATCCATTGCCATTTCCGTGAAGTTTCCAGTTGAATTGAACAGCCAAAACATTCTTTGTGCTGTACCATTTGCCAATTTTTTGACACCAAATAAATCTACTATCATATTGCTGTCATAGTTAATAACCAAAGGTTGGTCAATAATAGTGAAAAGTGGTTCATCTTCATTTGGACATGCCAAAACATTTAATCCTCCCCACAGTATATGTACATCTAAATCATTATTCTGTTTATTTGTTGAAAACCAATTGGAAAACCCTCCTGAACCAACTGTTATGTTTTTTACAGTAACCAGTAGATCCATAAGAGCATCACCATTGAAGTCTCCAGGCACCACCGATGTAATTTGGTGTTTATTAAACTTGCATTTAGTTTGTGTACCAGGCTTTAAAAAAGGTTCAACATTAGAACCAAACATAATTTCAATAGATCGACCTTGATCTTTTAGTACAAACATATCTGTAAGTTCATCAGAATCAAAATCTCCAAAGGCAGCAGGTTGTCCTTGAACATAATATCCAAACACAGGATATGTGATATCAATAGAGACACATGTATGACTTAAAGCCACCAATAAAAGTATCTGAAATCAAATTTAATGAATTAAAAAATGAACTTGTAATAGTAATTAAAAGTTAAAACATAAGGGTAAAATCAATATGTTTTGTGTATAATTTATAATACTTCAGATGTATTGGTTGGTTTTCATATTTAAAATGTAAAGCTTACAAGTTATAATATAACAACAACAAAAAAAGATAAAAAATAACTAGTTACCATCAAAATACATACATTTAAACTAGGTACAAGAAATGAATACACCATACCAGTATTTATTGTAGCCGTTCTATTTGACTTGCTATGCTTGTAAGTTCATAAGCATAACACGACAAATTTACTTTCAGAAGTTTGTGTATATCTTTGTTAGTTTTAATATTAGAGTAAATTGACATACTATCAAACTGAAAAGTAACTATATTACCCGTATTTTCTGATATTTTAAGTTTGAAGCAAGTTAATATTGTGTTTATATGTCAATTTTAAAATGCTCATAATTCACTTCTAAATAAATATATTATAAACATAACTTTCTGTACATTGGGCTGTACATTTGAATACAATTAATAAATACTTGTAGTAGGTATGTACTATCTACAAGTGTCAAGTAAACTAAACTAATGACTGAATCATAGTCAAAACTCATCTATACCCATTTTCAAAAGAGAACATACAGGTTGGCGACTAATTTATGTCCGATGGAGCGCATCCCCCACCAATTTCCCATTGTTAGAGTGATTACGTGATTCTTGACTCACCAATTGAATCATTTGACATGTGCGAAAGCGGTATGTTCTCTTTTGAAAATGGGTATAAAATACTCAATGTAATATAAAACTAACATGAATAATAAAAGATATATAATAGAAGTTTTACATTGATTTGTGTTAACAAAACCTATAGCACTTTTTGTTAAAATAATTATGAACATTTGTTTTAAATCAATAAAATATCTCATAGTTAAGAAATTATAAATAAAATTTAGTAAATTCCTACATAAAATAATAACTAGGTATTATAGACAATTAATGTTTTAAGTACCTACCTACCTATAGAGTATATTTACATCAGGCATATTAATATAGGTATTAATGTAGGTACTGAACATTTACAAATATATAAGTTATTCATCAATATGCAATTGTATTTAACTATAATATATATAGGCACTATTGTGATACTTACACTAGTTGATATCATGATGGCGTTGGTGAATCGTGAATGTATAAGTGACAATAGTTTTTTAATTTTCACCCAATCTTCTGAATTAACATCATAACAACAATTGTCTATTTAACCGGTTACATGCTGTAGTGATACATACAATTATTGATTATTATTTTAAAAAGATATTTTGTTCAAATTATTAAACAGATACTATTGAAAACACAATGTAAAAATAATATATCTTTAATGAAATTTTTTAAGTTCTACTCATTACAGATAATCAGTATTAGTGACTTATGTATTATTGTATGTCTGTATTACAAATGTACAATAGATACCTACCTATTAAAATATTACATTTTAGTATTTAACACATCAAAATACGTCAAATAAAAGAATGTATAAGGTTAATCAATAATCACCCATCACTATCACTATCTGTTGTTTTATTGTGTTCAACAGTGTTAACAATCATCGTCATCAATGTTCATATTATTATCACAGAATAGGTAACATAATAAAATTATTAAGAAGAAATCCATATTTTGTCAATGACCATGAGTCCATGAATGTACCTATTGGCTATTTGTATGCTTAGAATTAGAATTAGAATTTCGAATAGTCGTGTTTAATGTTTGTTTTTAATTTTTTAAACTGTTTCAATCAAATAATATGGTCTTTATTAGTTATTTAAAATCAGTAACGTAATTTATTATGGTTTAGCGTTTTTTAAAAAATAACTATTAAATTCTCTTATTCTCGTGATTTAAAAATAAAAAAAAATTGTAATTAGGTACCTACTTATTATTAATATGGTTGACGGTAAATTGAATTAATATCATACAATTACAAAAAAATAACTAAAATCTTTATTATTTTGTTTATTTAATATGTAATTTCGTCCATATTTGAATGTAGAATAACTATTGAAAAAACTTTTTAGATTTTTTGATTACAGAATAAGCTATGTGGAATCTTATTTAAAATTTACAATCCTTGGCTATAAAAGTTGAACATTTTATTTAAAATTTGATTAATTCTGTCAAAACTCGAATTTAAATGCTTATAAAAAAAATTGTGCCTATAATCTACCTATATATTTTCAATATTTTTAAACTGGTATTGTAATTTTTATAATAGGTATATCAGGAGCTTTGTATTAACTTTTCACGCTTTTCGACCAAACAAATATAATTTTATTAATATTTTATATTAATAGACAATAATACTTGAAAAATTGAAGATTGAAAATGTTCGTAAACAACTCAAAACTATTCAATAAATATCTATAGGAATTTATAAAATAAACATATGGTGTAAATTTGAAGTATCTACAATTCGTTTATGAATTACAACAAAATATACCTAGGTACATGAGAAATCGAGTGAATATCTAATCTTGTAAACATTTGAACTATTGAACTTAAAATTGTAATATGACCTTCTGGTAGACATTTTTTGTTTGATAAAGGTAGAAAAACTTATGAAGAATCTTTCATTAAATTTTAAAATCTTAGATTTCAAAAGAAAATTTTTTAAGATTATCTAACTCAAAATAATTTTAGTAAATTTTACGTATTTTGGCAACATTTGAACTTTAAAAGCTTATAAAAAAATTTGTCAAAGGCGACCTTGGGAAGATGTGAAAACATATATTATGAGCCTAGAAATATATATTTATTATGTTGAATTGGAATTAAATATACTTAATTTAAAACACGTGCTTTCATATTATTTGTAGGATAGAATTAAACATTTTTAAGAATTATATTTGTTGAAATGTAATTCATCAGAACACAGAGATAACTTTTATTAAAATAAAATATTTACATACCTAATAAGTAGGTACGCTACGTACATATTTACACGCATATATATATAAAAGTGACAAACAAATTGAACTAAAAAAGTTAGAAAATTCGCTGGGCCCGAATTCCGATCTCGACCTACCTCCAAAGTTTAGGCCCAGTCTGACGTCCGAATAAGACTGTAGGTGGCAAAAGAATTTTCGGGGTTTTTGGAAAAATTTCGAAAACCAGTAAAACTTCAGATATAAAAATCGCCTCTCCTTTAAATGATATAATAGGTATCGAGAGTTCTGCAAAAACGATAACGCTCGAAAATGTTCACTCTTCAAGCGGAAACATGTGGCCGTATAAGATGTTTTCACATCAAAAATTGTTACAATGTATTTGTACTGCGGTGAGTGACACGGGCCCGCATCTGATGGCACACCTGTTTGCTAGCCCTTAAATCGGTAGGCGGGGGCGGCCGTCGAATCATGTCCTACCGATGACGAATTAAGACCGGTAGCACGGGTGCCAGGTTACTGGTTAGCCCAAGGTTCGAGCCAGGTTCCTCGCCTGCCTGGCTAAGCGGATTTCATTCGTCGGCTTCGTGGATCTGCTAGTAAAAGCCGGTGAAACCGTAGCTGGTAGAATATCGAGGTAGGCGGGAAGAGGCCACCGCCGATGTGTCGTCCATTCTGACGACCCATCAGCTAAAGCGGGTAGGATCCCCCATCGGTGGTGGGACGAGCACCTGTCTCACGTTGCCGTGGGGTGAGGATATTAGGATCAATTTGGAACTTCTGTCCTTAAAGGTTATGTTAGGTTAGGAAGTCGTCATTGGACCACAAATGTCCACAAAGAATGAGTATGGGTCAGAAGAAATTAATAGATGAATTGAAAGCAGAATCACAGTAATTTATCATAGTAGAAATTGCTTACAAAGGTCATATATAAGAGCAATCAGAAATTGAATTACTATTGAAAATGAAATGAATTAATTAAGAAATGTATTGAGGATAAAAATTGGAATGGGTAAAGCTGAAGGGATAGGACTTTTGATGGATGTAAAATATGATGTATTGATGCTAGTATCATTATAATTAAGTATTAGCTATGTAGGTTTAAAGTAATAAAATCAACCTCAGAATTGCTATTGAATCTGTGGGTTGTCTTTAAAAAACAATAATAAAAATGTTTGGTTAAGTTACCTCATATAGTCATATGATATATGTCTTATGACAGATTTCTTTAATAGATTATAATATATTATACAATTTAATAGTGAGATTCATACACTAACAATATTTATAGTAATAATTTACAATTTTAACTGTCTTTAGGAGCTTTATATAAGTATAGAATAATACATTTTGTATACAGTTTACATAATACAATCTAAATTTTAAATATTACTTATTATTTTTATTTTAAATATACTTTAAAATAGTTATCTTATATAATTCAAAGTTTGTACAGCTAGACACAGTTAATTATAATTAGGTTAGAGTATATATAAATAATGGAAAGAAAATTATTATAAAAATAATAATAAAGTAATAAATAAATTACAACCAAAATTAATTTCACCAAATAAACTTGGTTTTCTTAAATTTATACAGGTGTAGTTTTTTCATATGCAGCTAATAACAAACGAGAAGAACCAACTGAAGTATAACTTTCACCACTTGAACGTTGACTTACAGTACTCATTGGAGTGCCAGGTAATGACACTCTTTCCTGTATACAATCAATGTTTTTTTTTAATAGGTTATAAAAGCATAATATTTACATAAGGTATGTAGTAAATATCAAAACCAAACAATAATATAATATTATTTACTTGAGATATTGATAGTTGAGGCTTTTCATTTTGATGTGTAACCAGCATTCTTGCAGCACATTCACCATAACACTCAGCATCTTCAGCGCCATGATTTAGTATAACATTAATTTCTTTTTCTAGAAAAATAAATAAATAAATATTTTTAATTTATAATTTAACAGGAAAACAATTTATTTAGTTCTTACTTTCAACTACAACAGGTTGGGGATGTTCAACTTTCTTTTCAATACTTTTCTCTGAGTCCAACAATGGAGACATTTTTTCTGCTTCACTATCTTCATCCTGAGTCTAAAAAAATTTGTAAGTTTGAAGTATACTCAACTATATAATCCGTTATATTTGTATTATTAATATTTATCACTAGACAGTACTTATAACATAGTGTTATAATCTAAGTAATACTAAATGTTTACCTCTTCCTCAGGATTTGCTTTTTCATTAATTATTCTCACTTTATCTTTACACTTAATTGGAATTTTAGGTTTTATTTCATCCTTATTAGAGGCTTTAGATGATTTATCACTGTTAGATGCAGCAGCCTGAAAAAAATTGAGTAATTAAACAAATATTAAATAAGAAGCTAAATTAATAATTCTATAATACATACGTTAGAACTTAAAGAATTATCACTAAGGCTTAATGATTCACCATGTGAATCTAGGCTGCACGATTTTTTTCTGGAAAGTCTGTCTAAACTCATTCTATAAAACAGTATTTTAAAATATTTTATAAGAAAATCAAACAGTTATTTTGTCTACAGACAGAAATCATTTATTTATATTCTAATTAATTCAATGCTTAAATAAATAATATAGTCTACTTTTAAATAGAGCAAATTACTCAATGATAAACTTTGAAATAAAATTAATAAAAGTAAAATATAAAAAACTAATTAATTACATTTTTTTTTTTAAATTTAACATACTTAGACATAGTGAGTCCAGCACATTGGCTATCAGGTGAAGATTCTAGTAAAGGATCACTTGGAACTTTAGTGGCATTACTATATCGTCGAAAATTTGGACCATTGAGAGCTTCAATTAAAGGAACAGTTTCATAGCCATAAGGAGTGCGTAAATCAATCTATAAAGTTAAACAATTTAAAAAATATATATACTTAAAATTTTATACTTGAATATTATTACTCTATGATTATTATCCAATGTTTTTTGTAAGGCTTTTATTTGTAAAAGAGCACGAAATGGAACTCGACATATTGGACAATTATTAGCTTGGTATCGTAAAGAGTCTGCACATGATTGACATAAACACAAGTGACGACATGGTAAAATTAATGTGTCACGCATATCACTCATACAAATTACGCATTCTGAACTACCATCTTCTAAATCTTCATCTCCAGAATCCTTTAAGTATAAATAAATAAATATAAAATAAAA